GGCAGCAGGTTGCCGGGAGGAGCAGTGCTTGGTGGCCCAACACGAAGGGGTGTGTGAAGGGTGGTGAAGTCGGGCACCGAGCAGGGGAAGGAGATGTTGCAAGGGACAGCCGGGCCAGCTAAACGCGGGACTCGCTTCCTTGGAGCTTGCAAGAGAGGAGCACTTTGTCCCTGGCCCGGTGCCGAGGTGCAGGCGCTGCTGGGGCAGCTCCTCAGGATTACAGTCCCTGCTCACACGGGTGTTTGTTTCTGGGGTTGAATTATGTCGTGCCACAATTCAAATGTTAGGGATCTGACTACATTTGAGGTGTAATTGATCTTCTGATGACTTTTTAAACATCTGGTAAGAGGGTACAGCTTTTCAAACAGCAAAATCTACACCAAAATGGTCTTGATTTGAATAATAAGTATTCCATCCTTGTTTGGTAAATATACCCAGTGTTAATGGTGCTTAATGGTGCTTGTAATTGGTGTCTAAAGTTATTTAAAAGTAAATTTACTAGAAAATAATTAGCAATTTTATAGTTCACTACTTCCTAATTTTGTTGATGAAAGTTTTTCAGTGGTTTTATCAGATGACACAATAGGGCTGTGCTGTGAAATAGCTTTTTTCAAACTAGCAGGAAATTGTGCACACAAAATAAGATAAAAAAATTTTCCCCCTAATTTCTTTGCCTGGCAGCCAGCCCTCTCTCTCTTTTTATTATCCACAGATTTATCCTTAATCAGCAGCAAGTGAAACTTCCCAGACATTGCTCGGGGATTCGTTCTTTGTGACCTTGGGAGGTGCACCCTGAGCTGTGTGGCTAGCGAGTAAATCTGTCCCTCGCTGCAGGGACAATCCCGCTGTCCCCGGCCGGTGGCTGGGCCCTGCCTGCAGAGAAAAGCAGAGGTTGTGCTCTCTGCGGGTCCCTGACCCCATGCAGGGCCTCTCCAGATGCAGCCCACCAGGCTGGAAACCCCCCATGCCTGGACCCTGCGGTCCTGGTCCCGGTCCCGGCTGTGGCACGCGCCTTCCCCCAGCCCTTTCGGCACCGGTGGGGCTGCGCTGGGCTGCGGAGCAGGTCGGGGTGGCCGCTTGCAGGGTGTTGGTGCTGCTGGGAGAAATGGAGCGGAGAAATGCAGCTGCTACAACGTTTTATTGTGTAGTGCTGTGGGTTCAAGTGTTCAGGTCAGGATTTCCATATTGTTTGGGTACAGAGTGACACCGACAGACAGAGACGTGGCTCGGAGGAGGCTGCAGCACAGCAGTTTGGTTTCCGAAAAGACTAACTCCGCATTTCCAGTCTCTGAACCTTAAAGTACCAGCTTTTCCAGAACAATGAATCACCCAGTCTGTGTACAAAATTAAATATAATTTATGCTTTGCTAATTGAAATCAAATACAAAATTCAATTTCCTGTGTATTCTAATGCTGACATTGGAATATTTTTTTAAAAAAAGTGTTATTTAACCTGATTCTCTCTTGTTTGGCAGGCCACGCTCCAGCCAGAGAACAACCCTCCCTTGTCAGACCCCTCCC